CCCCCCGCATCTCTCGGCAAGAAAGAGCCCCTCCATCCCTTTTTCAGTAATTTCTTGCTGGCCTGGTTAGCGTTTCCTACCTCACACGTCTGCTTGCTATACCTCCTCTTTGTTCAGTGCTGTTTACAGAGGACGTGAAGACGTGGAGAATCACCCGTGTTAAAACAGCCTCCCCAGGCATCGACAATTTGCTGAAGAAATAATACATGTTCCTCACTCTTCCTTTAGGGATAGACTAAGGGGTGAGAAGTGATACATTCTGCCTAAGGAGATGGACAGAAAAAGGGGAAAGCAGCAAGCTCTGCTTGTAGCCAACATTTGTGAACGGTAGCAATGAGATCATTACCGAATAAACTCCATGGTGAGCGGGGGGCAACGCTGCAGGGACTTTGCCTCACTTCCTTAAAAACCTTCACCCGTTTGATCTCCTTCGCGATTCTGTCACTCGGCCATAAACCCTGCATGTACCATACTTCCTTGACCAAAGCGAGCACTTCTGTTTACAGAATAACAGCTTAAACACTTCCAGAGGGCCAAAGGGACAGCTCTGAAGGAGACGACTATTGCTTGCATCTATATTTTACGCTAGAGGTCCTGGGCAAAAAAAAAAAAAAAAAAATCTATTTTACTTCGGCTGTTAAGAGCGGCACTATAGACACCAAACACTAAACACAGCTGCTTGTATTCTCTGGCTGCTCAGATGACTTTTTCTAAAACATGTTACAACATTAGGAACAGGTGACAACTCACAAAAATGGCCCAGGAAGAGAACTTTATTTACAGTTTGAAGTATAAACCCCAGGGAACAGTGCAAACCAGCTCTATAATTAGCAAGAGGATCACACAGCTGCTTGGTTCAAGTGCAGTCTGTGCTGGTTGACTGATTGGTATTGATACTGTAGAGAAAAGATTAAGCGTATTGTGTAAATCTCTGGCTGGAACGTACCATACCCTGCTCTGTGTAAAACCATACAACCAGGTCATTAAAGAATAAGAAAAGGAGACAGAAACAAAAAACTTCAAACATGCTGCTATGATCAAGACTCAGGTTGCAGATCTCAGCTAGTACCAGTGCAGTCACAAGGGCAGCCTAGACTATTGTGAATTCTTCACTGAATTGCCTACAGCTGTGGGATAAGCCATTTATCACATCTAGCTACATAAAAAAAGGTCACAGAGTGAGCAGAGATACAACCCCTTCTGCTAACATATTGGCATGTCTCAACTGGTTAGTAAACTTACACCCACTTTGGGAAAATCTGCACAATGTTCATAAGCCAAAGCATGAAGGAATGTAAAATGAACAGATTTTCTGAGGGAACAAAGATAGAAATACATTTTGGAAAAAGCAGCTTCAAAGTTAAAAAAACCACGGCAGAGCAAGATAAAGCCCAGGTCACAAAGGCTGCATAGTAGGCTTGGGAAAAAAAAGGGGAGGGGGGAATTTCAGTTTCATGGTTTGGGCCTCAGATTAAATACACAATTTGGAAGTGTCAGAGTGCAATTTCATGATGTTTAGGCAAAAAGAATGCCCTTGCAACAAAGTCACAGTGTTAATACTATTGACAAGTCTTTTCCTTTCGTTGCTAATACCTTGACTCCATTTTTGCTGTGCACCGAGCTTCAGTATTTTGCAGCCAATGAATTCCACTTCAATTTCCATTCTTGTGCCTACTTCCCTATCTTTGGAATATTTTTTACTTACAGGTATATCTAGGCTATACTCAAAGTGTATGCACAGTATCATGTCTTCTTAGCAGTAACCCATTAAATCTTAGAAGTCCCTTTCGTCCAAACACTGTCCCTTCTTTTCAAAATGATATATTTTCAGCCTTACAAAAGGCAGTGCAGTGCTCTGCAATAGCATCTCACCGTTGCCTATTTTCAGGTCTTTCCCTTCCCCCGCAGAGGTGTTCTCCTTCTACAGTAAAAAAACCTTTGTTTCTCTTAAGCAGACAGCCAACAGGAGAGCACCTCAGAGTCAGTTTAGCGTACTTTAAGCAACTCCCGTATTTCTGGCAACGTTTTCTTCCACAGTTCACAAACCAAAACACTGATCTTTCCCACAGTGCCATTAAGGACTACATGTACACTGAAAGAAGCCACAGGAAGCTTTACTACAAGAACATAAATACTACAGCCAGAAAAAAAGACTGGAAACATATTTTATTAACATAAGACTTTCCATATGTCTCTTTCAAAACATTTTCAAAACCACAGTTACAATAAAGTAGTAGAAAAATACGGAATTATTTGGAAAATGCTTGCAAAATACAAGGCACTTCCTCAAAGGGCTTACATCATCTCAACTACTACACATAAAAAAAATCCAAACATTCAAAGAATCACCGAGACTATCCCAAACAATATAATACGGATGTTAAACAAAATTACAGAAATGTTTTTACTAAAACACCTCTCTCAGACGGGAGAGAGCCAGGTCTCAGTTACCACTCTGGAATCCAGTTTCACTTGTGTCGGTATCATGTTCCTTAGTGAAGGGAACAGAAGGAAGAAAAAACAAGAGAATATTAACAATCAGGTAAAAATTTAAGATTTTCTCTTTAACTAGACCCTCAGAGAAACGTGGAATACTTGTTAGTGGAAACAACTGATCTGTGCGGGAGATACCCCAAACAGGCTTAAACGCATCAAATTTACTAGGAAGAATGACTTAAAACACAACCCTCCTTGTGAGTAACACTGCTGGTTTCACATTTAGTGTTAGCAAGCAATGGGAACGTTCAGGAGGGTGTGTTGCTTTTACAAAGTAAAAGTACAATCAGTGAGCCATCTTAAGCTGAAATTACCTGAACTACACTGTCATGTATTAATCTCTCAAAAATACACGAGAGACTTAAAAACTGAGCATTTCCCATTCTAAACAGATTACCAATCATAAATATTCTGGATTACACTTCAGTGGTCTAATTTATTGTACAACAAATGGCTTAACACATCACTGTGCCTCTTGCCTGTGACAAGCAGAGCTCCTACAAAGACACCGACTACCAGCCTCTGTGCTGACACTAAAAATTAGTCACTTGCAGTTCTGTTATTAAAAATACCTGATTCAGTTTCTTAAACTCAACCACTTTGAAAAAGATGTGCTCCAGGATATGTTTGGCATCTTGCTTCTCCTTTGGGAGTTTGCTTGTTACTCCTAGGATTTCGCCACACTTTCGGACGTAAAACTCCAAGTCGTCGTCAGTACCTAAACAAGCGTTCCAAGGAAGGAAACAGATGAATGTTATACATACCTACGCTATCTGTGCAAAAATATCCTACTCGTTGCTATTTGTCATTGGCATTTTGGGAAGTTAGGCCCTATAATTAAGGTCACTAGACTAGCCATGATGTATTTCTGCAGCTACTACTTTCTCATCTTGCTTAGATTTCAGGTGTGTTTAGAATAAATCTTACCATTTTTACTTTAAAACACAAAAAGATGTGAAATTAATCAGCAACAGTGTGAAAGTGATTTATAAATGATAAAGGAACTAGAAAGTAGAAACAAAACGCACGTTTCTATTAAACGAGCTGCAGTCTCATCAGTAACGTCAGCAGCACGCAGGCACTTACCGACACTTACAGTACTACATTTTGCACCGCTAACTTCAAAAATGTTCGCCAAAACAATGGAAAAGGAAGCCCAGACTCTCTAACATAACAGGGCCCCTTGAACGTCATACATCTACTTGATGAATGCATCTACTAGATGTATGCATCTACTTGAAAGAGGAAAACAAAAGACACAGAAAGGAAGAGGAAGCTGCACTGCAGCCACGTGATACTTCAAGACCAAGAAGTCATGTACCAAAACTGCCGAAGACTCAGAGCCTTCTTGACCCAGAACGACAGCAACGGGTTTTCATAAATAAGGCCCGTGTTTTCAAAGTGACTTATCACCAGTTTTCCTCCAAAAGCTTGGCTCTTATGTATAAATATGTAAACAATCAGTCTGCTCTGCTTACATTTGTTTGTAATCTCTGCTAGACGGGCTTTCTCAGAGGAAAAAATTTCATCTAAGTCAAACAGCTCCAGAGGGGGAGGAGGCAATTCTCTGAAAGCAGGTGGAAAAACCTTGAAGACAAGAATTAGCACGGTTGACTGCCAAATATTTTTCTTATCCTTTGCAGATAACCAAGACGACAGCTTTGGACTTCATGAAAGGTTTCTTAAACTCTGATCTATTTCAAAAATTCTATTCAGGTATCATAAAAATAGCTAAACGTTCCAAAGAGTTTAGTCAAACATATGCCAGAATTTCTCCCCTTAAACACTTATTCTAGATCTCTTACAATAAAAATCAAGCATTAAAATCAATTGCTTTCCCAGTTTAGGTGGAAGCTAGCTTTGAACAATCTGATTTATTGCCATCTAGCATCACAACTAGATATATTGTATTCACGCAGTTTCTTCTTAGTTTTCTTCCATGAGATTCAAGTGATTCAATTGTGTATTGAAAGAGTCCAGGTAACAGGCCGCCCAATTCACCTTGGAGATGTATTCATATTGATTTTCACAAAGGTTGTCAGGGAAAACATGTATTTTCTTTTTCATGCAGTCACCGTTTAAGCCACGGGTTGGACTCTGCAATTAACAGGGCTTACAAGTGCTTAAAAGAGCACTGCATTTCAAAGTGAGAGGGAACACCTTGTGTTTTTAAAAAGCAGTACAGGAAACACTATTTTCAGTGGCATCCCTGCAGCTATAGGGATTACATTAACATTCCCTGGACGTTAATCGAGCGGTGATGGCAGAACTTAAAAGGTACCTGCTCTTTAAAACAAATCTGATACTACTTAAGCTTGTGTTGTTGATGCCAGCAAAATTCGGCCAGCCCCTGCTGTAAAAGAGCAAGGCTCCACTTCATTCTTTTGCACCCACTGGGAAAGTAGGAAGACAAGTGGGACAGACCGGCTCCTCCTCTGACAACAGCCGATAAACTACTTGCAGCATCACTGCTTTCTGACACAGCATGTTCTGTTTTCACAGTAAAGGATCAACCTCAACACCTTGCAGGACTAGAAGCACCTAGGGAGGATGTTAAGGGACTATGTATGCAAGCCATTCTGAGCTCTCTAGGTTTTGATCGCGCTGTGCCACCAGACACTTCACTTTCAAGCTCTGTCGATAAAAGTTACAAGTGTAGTGAGTGAGTGCTCCTTTTTATAAGGCAGACCATGCAATGCGTTCAACTCTCAAATAATTAATATTAACACAGCATCTCTCCCCCCCCCCCCCCCACACCCCGAGACAATGCAAAAAAAAAACAAGGAAGTA